TGGCCAAGTCTCTGCTCTCCCTTTAGAGCACTGGTTCCCAACACGTGTGCTGGAGCACATTTATTACATTTATATTTATTCCTCAAGCAAAAGATTTTATCCAGAGGGACCTCGCAAAAAAGAGAAATTCAGAAAATGTCAGCATAATGAAATAGTTAAGATGTAAACAAAGTCCTTCAGGGTGATTTGCTCCACTTTAGATGAACTTACTGAATTGTTCACAGTGGTGGTGATAGGAACCAGACGTCTGAAGAGTTTAGTGCCTCTAAAAGCTTCCAAACACTGGACCTCATTCTCCAGTATCTTCCTAAGGTCCTTTTTTAATTTGCTTCTGAGAAAGGTCTTAAGAAAAAGTCTGCATCAGATTCATGACCTGTTCTTAAACTGCAGAGTTGTTCGCACCTTTGTACTCTTGAGTGTGTGTAGATTCTGTTCTTACCTAAGAACAAATCCCAATTAAGAAAACAAGTGGGTTTTAAAAAGAAAAGTGGTTGGTAAATTGGTTTAATGATATTTTTGGCCTAAAATGTACTTTTTAAAATCCATTCATGGTGTAAGGCAAAATAATGCCTCCAAAAAACCCTGTTTTAGTGTAGGTTCACTGTTAGTTTTGGACAGGAAATAAAATGCCTACGCAAAATTCTGTTTATTTGCTGAGTTTAACATATTGGAAAAAAACAAAATAAAAAATGTGGCGTAACTGTTGCAGAGGCCATATTTTAGGAGTGATTTTAATTAATATGTTAAATTGAGCAGAGAAACAATAATTGTGCATAAAATGTGCACAAGTATGTTCTCTATAGAGGATGCATGAACCTATTTTCACTTAGAAAATCAATAAAGCATTTTGCATACAACAAGTATTTGCATACAAATCTGTATATTTGTGTTCTAGTCATATCAAGCCCTGGTTCCTGTCACTACCACTGTAAAGAAATCTGAGTTACAATGAACCATTTCACATTTCAAACCACTCTAAATGACTTTGTTGCAGTTTAATTATGCAGAAATTTTGAAAAACAAGTGGAATTTGTCTTTAAGAAGCAAACAGTGAGTGCCAAAGTGATACAGGGTACCCAGAGAATCTGGACCTAAAAGACACATGTCTATCATAGCATGATCAAGTTAAATGAAGAGTTCTTTAGTATGCGTGGTGCAGGGCAGGGAGTACCCAACAACGTCAACTCAGGAAGGGCTGAATCAGTTGGATCCGGGGTTTTAGAGCAGGGTAGATACCCAAATATGCAGGGCAAGGGTACTCCAGGATCATGATTAGGAGCCACACCTTTAGAGGAAGCTCCAGAACCTTTCCACTTGAGTATCTTCAGGTGCTGGCCTCAGGAGTCAGTGCCGTTCTGCTTGACTAAATGAGCTTTAGCGGGATTTGCGAGGCATGCTCTTGATTATGGATGTTGCCTGCCCTCGCAGCTTTCTTGGGGATCGTAGAAGTTTATAGCCAGATGGCTTCATGTTTCACTCTTGCTTGGTTCCCCCCAGGGCCTCTCTTTCCCTGCATGCCTTGGGGCTATCGTTAGCCATGCATGGGACCCTTCCCTGTAAACCCTTCAACACCTCAAGTCAAAGCAAAGGCCTGAAACGGCATGTGTCCTAATGCAATACCTGTAAGATCCAGGGCGCATGACAAACGTGAGGGAATCTCTTTTGATTTCCCCGTCTCGTAAAAAGCCGACAGGCAAAATGTTGTGTCGGTTTTGTCAGCGTTTAACAGCCTTTTGCTGCAAAGCCTCATGTGTCAAACATCACTACGGTGATCAGCCACAGAGCAATGGGAATCTGCTTTTGCTCACATGGAACCAAACCTCGCCCCTGGGGTTGAACAGGCTCGAGCAGCATGGCGTGCATCTTGTTTCCAATTTACAGGAAATCTAAAAGGATGCGTAACGTCTTTAATGAACGGATTGTCAACAGATTTGTGCTACAGGAAGCCTGGCATCAATGCTCAATTCTCACAAGGCCACAGCAAACAGCCTAGCTCCAGAGAGCACCCTCGGTTAAGCAGACTAGACCCTGCTGGGAATCAGAAGGGGGGCAGGAACCTCCTAGGCTCCACTCTTTTTTATCAGATCCAGGGAGCATTGTGGCGCTCCGTGTGCAAGAAGAGAGGATTAAGCCCCTGCAAAGTTGCGAGAAAAGAGTGCAGAGCTGGAGCGCTTGGCTGCCAGCGTAATTATTTCCTGAGTGTTTGACAGGGTGCCAGTAATTACCTGATACCAGCCCCTCTTTATCTCAGTCAAAGGGGAGTGCAAGTTTACACTTGCATGTGCTGCTCTGCGAAGAGGGCTGTTAGGCTCCATGCCACTCAGATTCCATCCTCCTCCCTCTCTCTCTTTCCCTCTCTCTCCCTCTCTCTCTCTCTCTCTCTCTTGCTCGCCTGCTCTCCTCCTGAAACAGCAGTTAGCTAAAGTAGTATGCGCTTCTCCATCACTTTGAGTGCCATTGTGCGATCACCTACGGTGCCTTCGCCAGCTCCCGTATTGAATCAAAAGGCTCCCTAATGGTGTCCTTCTCATGACAGATTCCTCTCCACAGCCCTGAAGGGAATAACAGCATGTGTAGCTATCATGCACAGACAGACGTGTGCCTGCCACACAAAAGCATCCCCGCTGCTGGAATCTGATTAGCGCTTAAACTCTCCCAGCTGTGTGGCTTGTGATGGGCGAGCTGAAACAAAGGGGCTGCGGTCCACTCACTGTTCAGGGGGAGGCTGTGAAATGTGATTTGATTTAGTGCTCGTAGGCTCAGCGACTCTAATTGGCAGCACACCCTACAGGGAAAAATGTGCTCCGTCTCGGACGGCGATAAAAATCAGTGCTGCTACTCAAGATGGCATGATAGGTGTTGGCTGATAGCAGTACGTTTACACAGTGCAGGGCAAATGCATCTGAAAGGCCGGCAAATTGTCCAACTCCGGCTTCCCCTCACCGGCTCTACAAGCGAGCCGTCATGGTGTCTGGTTTTGATGCTGCATAAAAGGGAAGATTTCAGTGTTTCCATTTAAATGTTTGACAAATTTCTGAAAATGCAAATTAGGTAGAGTTTACATTAAGTACTGTTTTGTGCAAATTCTTGGTAATGTCCCTCACTTGACAAGAGTCTCACTCACCCCCTTTATTAACTCTTGGTAAAGAAGTTTTGACATCTGTCAATTGTACATGCTTGTATCCATAGTAATTCAGAGACGCCGGGTAGAACAGGTAGCGACCTATTTATTGAGGGCTGAAGTTGTCATCCCACTTTGCCATTGCCCTCCGAACCCCTGGGATCGCCAATCCAGTTGATTTTCACCTATCACCATGTTTATCGACAGATGGAACAGATTTCGTTTCTGGTGTATCTTCGAAATATCTGTTTCTATTGATGTTTTTGCATTTCTCTTTTATTGCTAAACCAACTTTTTCCACCTCACTCCAGTGTAAAAACTTTTTTTTTGCATTTTTTGAATTTCTGGCTTTCCCTCCAGGTTGTTTTATTTGCATTTTCCAAATTCACCTAAAAGAGGCAGATGAAAAACCCTCAAATGAGTGGGTGGAAGTACCAGATGCAAGCGTGAGTTCTTTAAGGCTTCGGCCGCTAGCGTGTTTCAGCTGTCGCCGTGCATTGCGCTGAAGCCCACACGAAATATTTCTAGCTGCCACTTCTGCTTGCGTCCTGCTGCCGAGCTCTCAGGACAGTCTTATTGTCCTCCGGAGGAATTCTGGGTCATGGCAAAAGGCCGCTGTAATCCAAGCCCTCGGCCCCTGACACTGCGCCTGTGAATCGGCTCTTTGTGCAGGAGGAAGAGCCGCTGCCTTTCACAGAGGCAGAAGGTCGGAAAGCAGTGTTTGCAATGGGCTTTGTGTCGCAGGTTGTGGGAATGGAGGGATTATGCAGTGTCACCACAATTTACATGCTCCAGGTGTAGACTTACCATTCGGGGCCTTTTTCTTGTTGGCTGCTTGTACCTGACGTTTCCTTGCCGGTATTTTAACCAACCGTTCTCTGTTGTTTTTACTCTTAAGGTGGCTTTTTTATTGTTTGCCATTTGTTATGCTGCTTAAATGCTATGTTACCCAATACCATTTGCTCCGGCTCTCACAGTTTCTTTTTTAAATGCTGAGTCACAGTTGGGAAGAGCCTCAGTACCACAGCTGTCCCAAAATTAGCTCTGAGTTTATTAATAGAGTGTATAAAACATGCTGTACATACTGTATGCTTTAGTCAGAATGTTGCTGTTATTCAAGAGCCTTTGTTGTTGCAGTAGTAAAACACTGGTCTGCTTCTGCTTAACAGTGATTCTGGTTTACAGTGAATCTGGGAAGACAAGTGCTTGCAAGACATAACCTGGCCAGTGGAATGAAGCATATCTTTACACGGTGATGTCATGGCAGCCGCAAACCGAGATCAAACAGACACCATCATAATTACGGCCTGGCCTTTAACAATGTGTCTGAAAGAGGTCCATTCAGAGAGGCATCCAGGCTGCCTATATACACAACTCAGCAGGCCTTTCAACCTTTATTGCCTCTGTAAAACCAATCTGGGATGCAACTGTTACTTTTGATTGATTATCGTTGTTGTGAAAAAAATGTCTTTGATTTACACAAAAGTAATCTTTTTATAAAAATATCCAAGGCCTGAAAAACTGGCAGATGCCTTAGAAATTTGATTTATGATTTACAGTCAGCCAGAAAAGTTAACTTGCTGCCAAAAAAACAAAATGAAAACATCTTAAGGGCATTTATGACATTATAAGATTATTTTTTATCACTGTTGCATGATTAGTAACATATGCATGAAACCAATGCAAACAATAAAAATTTCACTGCAGAACTTGTTTGTTTAATCAAATCCAAATGTGAGCATAACTGGTATCACATACACATTACAGCCAATATAAACGTTGTCATAATTCTGTTTCATACAGCTTTATGTCCTCATTAAACTGAAACCTTCTGGTTTGTTGCAGGTATTTATTTGTGCCTGTTTCTTCTCTTCCACAGCCCTGAAGCGGTCCTTTGATATTGATGATGTTGATGAGATCCCTACGTTCTCACCAACCTCGTCAGTCACATCCCCCATCAGTCCGAGCTCCATCCTCAGCAAGGCCGGTGAGGTCAGGAGTGCGGGCAACCACATGTCCCCGACATACCGCTCGCGGATCAGCCTGAGCTCCAGCCCTGCTCAAAGCCCTGCCATGAAGAACCGGATGGTGTCCAGTCTGTCCTTCAATCGAGGAACCATGGGAAAGCCCACCATCAACTCCAACACCGGGATCAACCGTGCGGCCTCCTTCCAGAACAAATTCAATCCCAATGGCTTTAATTCTTGTTCAGGACCTGGCAGTGACAACGACAGCCTTCATAGTTCCTCCTCCAGTCTGGAATACCAGGCATCGTCCAAACTGAGCTCCTACACCAGCCCGCCACAAAGCCCCATGGGGGTGGGTGAGTACAAGGCCCAGCGCTTGGGAAGCCCTGCCTTGAAGAAGTTCTCTTCCCATGGGAACATGTTCCACTCAGAGCTAGAGGGTCCATTAGTGATCCCCACAGAGCCTTTGGGTATCAGCCATGGCTCCATGCCCTCGCTGGATCTCCAGATGGCTGAGAGTGGAGGAATGAGACAAGCGGTGTCACCTGGATCAAGATTCCCTCATGCTCCTGTTACCTGGAATGCACATCGCCTCCACAACAACAGCATTGCTGGGAAGGATTTCTCCATCAACCACCAGCCCCCAAAAACCAAGGAGCCTGCTCGACTCAACAAGTTCCCCCTTGATCTTGACAACCTTGTGGTCAAACCACAGACCCCAGAAGGGCCTGTGGCGCCAAGACCACCTCCAAGATTTCACCCAGTGTCCACCAGTCCCACTGTGTCTGCCAGCCCTTCTGCTTCCATCAGCAGTTTAGACAGCACTGATCTTCCCATGGTTCACAACTACACTGCAGAGAAGCGTGAGCCCGTCACACCTCCTGGAGCCATCCCGGTTCCCGACATCAGCGAATCTCCTGTGCTGCTCTCCCCAGCCCAGACGCCTCGCTTCAACCTGGCCTCTCAGCCTCAGGTGGTCCAGATTGCTCCTGCTACATCACCTCCACCCACACAGGTCAACATCGTCAGCAGTACTTCACGCAGTGAGTCTCCGGCCAAGGAGAGCGTGGGCTCCATCCTTCAGAGGATTGCCTCGTTCTCCAGAGGTGAAGCCAAAGTGCCAATGCCCAGCCCAAGCCCTATCACCGCCCTCAGCAACGGAATCAAGAGAGAGTCCCCGGCAGTTCAACACAAAGAGTTCAAGAGATCAGGAGGTATGCTTATTAATGTGTGTGAATAATGGGAAAGGAGTAATTTAGAAATGCTAACGCTGCTAGCCATTAGCCACCATCCACCTTTATGGAATATTTATTTAATTCCTTGATAGCCATGTTAGTAGGGATGAGTCAGAATGTTGTAAAATTTGAATAGTCAGGGAAATGAGCCTGTCTCTACTATTATCCTTTCTCACGAGAGCTATGAGGTGTCTGAACTACTTATACGTATACTCCAAAGATGGCCGGCTAAAGGCTAGCCCTGTGTCTCACGTTCTAGTGAACATGTCTAATCCGTATACTCCAAAGAAGGAAGCATAGGAAGGCTACTAAAGCCAGCTAAAGGCTAGCCCTTCATCTGACATTTCCTGCAAGTGTCTTATTTGTTGACTACAAAGAAAGAAGCATAGAAAGACTACCTAAGCCAGCTAAAGGCTAGCTCTGTGTCTGACGTTCTAGTGAACGTGTCTGGTATGTATACTCCAAAGAAGGAGTCATAGAAAGAATACTAAAGCGGGCTAAAGGCTAGCCCTGTGTCTGACATTCTAGTGAAAGTGTCTCATCGGTTTACTTCAAAGAAGGAAGTGTAGAAAGACTACTAAAGCCGGCTAAAGGCTAACGTACACCGGATGAGAAACTCTGTGCTGCACTGCTGTGTCTGGTGCCGGGTAGCACGTAGTACAAACTGCAGCTTTGGCACATAGTAACCATCACAGAAAGCAGTGGTAAATATCAGGCTAACTTTACATCCTACTTATGTATAAATTGAACAGAATACAACTTTCAACATCACTAAGTGAATTTATCAAGTTTAGCACCAGCTATCTAACTCTTCCCAAACTCATTGGGCCTCATTCACCAGTTGTTCTTGAGAAGAAATTTCTTCTTAAAACCCACAGTTTGTACGAAGATTCTGACATTCGCAAATATTTTCTTATTTGGGATTTGTTCTTGACTAAGAACAGAATCTACACACACTCCCAAAGAAAGTACAAAGAAAGATATTGGTGAATGAGGCCCCCTGTTTTTGAACTAAAAGGTATGAGATGAAATATGATGTGGCTAGGCTAATAACATTGGCTGTGGAGATGATAAAAAGTCTTAATGACTTAAGATTGACACTTTCTTTGGTGTACCTTTCAAGCCAAGTGTCCCCTGCTGTGGTTCAGGTTAAATACAGTGATAGTAGGATGCTGAGTGGTGCTTCTGACTCATCCACAGCAGGACCCTGTAGCCTTAAGATCCCTTGTGGAATGTATTATTAGAATATTTTTCAAGTACTGCTGTATGAAATTTGAATATCGTAACTAACCGAAATGCCCATCCCTTCATGTTAGCACATTTGAGCTGCTTCTTTAAGGAGATGAGGCCAATGCCCACCAAGCAACTCACAGATGAGGTTATGTAGAATCCATTTTTCATTCTTCTTCATGCCAATTGCACCATGTAATGTTTCTTTCCGCCGCTAAGCATTCATTTAAAAGCAAGACACTCCCTGTGTAGAGAATACCATTAGCTAAGCAAACAAACGTGTGCAGGTCTGGAGGCAGGCCTTGTAGCTGAAGTGCTGCTGTCACCACAGCTGTCTTTCATATCTCCAGTATACAGCGGGGACGGGGAGAAAAAAATAGGGGGAAAAAAAGGGCGGAATTCCTGGCATATCAACAAATAGCTGAGTGTGAACAGTGATAACAGTGCGGGGAGGCCTGTCATCACCGCCTATCCAGTACAGGGATCCCTGACGGCCACAGCAGAGCAGGATCCTGCCGGAGGCCAGTGAGTCAGCCCTGTTTACAGTGCAGCCTCTCAGGTGTGCCGCCCTGTAGCCCCACGCCAGCAGCCCACAGTCCCCATTCACCGCAGGGATCGGTGGAAACCGAAAGAGCCTGTCGGAAGCCTCGGCACTGCAATTTAATGGCTTTGTGGGCTGATTGACAGAAATGTGTTACATGTTTGAGACCGAGGCCGCAGCCTGCGGGACATCAAAGGAAGCGGATTGAAGCGGCGCAGCGGTGGAGTGTGCAAAATTACAGCTCCGGCGGTGTATCAGCGTCCCCTGGGTCAGGACATCTGGGTCTTCAAAAAGCTGCTGATGAAAGCAAGATGCATGAACAAAGAGCTGCATCATGGAAGCCCAACGTGATGCGGAGGCTAGGAAGAAAAAAAAGCCAAAACTTGAGTTAATGAAGGCAAAGATGAGGGCTCGGAGTCAGTTGGAAGGGGTGAGGTCTGCTTTCCATGAGGTTTGTTTACAAACATCAAAAAGCAGTAAGGGAACATTTGGGGTTGCAGAGCCAGCACTGTGGGCCAACATGCGGTGACGTGTGTTGATTAGAACTAATTGAAGCCTCCCTCTGAGGAGGCCGTGATGAGACCGGTCTGACCAAAGCCACACTAAGGACGTTAAGTATGATTTATGTATATTTTCATGGCTCAAGTCGTAATGAAATGAAACACTGACATCCATTGGAGTAGATTTCGAATAGACCCAGCCGGAAATGTGTTTGTTCCCTGTAGCACATGTTACAGCTTATGTTTTCCTTTCTCTCTTTGCTTCCCTCCCTCTTCCCTTCCTGGGGTCATGTAACGGGAGGGGCCGGTTGCTTTTCCTGACCTAAGAAAAAAGCAGTGAAGTACGAGGGCCCCGTGGGTGCCTGGCACTACGCTTGGCTGCAGACTATCCATGTGCAGCTTGTCCTGCGGCACCAGTCTTGGCTATCTCATGAGGTCAGCATAAACTAACCTCCAGGCGGACTATTTTTTATTTTTTTTCTACTTTGACATCCACATGGACCCCAGGCAGCTGGGATGCAGGCGACCCCCATGCTGCCGTGTTTTCCCTCGAACGTAAACATGCCTTCGTTTGCGCAGGGTGATTTATAATTTCCAGCGGAAGTTGAAGGGGAGGGAGAATAGGTGCTGCCCGGAGCCAAGCACTCCGGATCGGCCTCCGCTGTGTTTGCACTCTGGAGGTGGTGTTATGAATGAATGTGTTGATGGTTTAGGCCGTTCTTCTGTGCCGAATCTGAAACAGAGGCCATTGCAAGCCTTATGGACTGTGCCAGTTATTGCATAGTCGCAATAATTTGAGTTGATCACAATTAAGCTGCAGTTGTTTTTTGACAGCTTTCACAATCCTGTTGCAACAAACAGAATGTGATCTGGTGCGTTTTCATCAACAGCAAAATTTCAAACTTATAATTGGGTACTATAACACCTTTAGAGGGCAGCAGTGAGTAAAGGTACTCAGTGTCAACAGCTAGGAAGCAAATCCGAAAAAAGCTAGGAAGCAAATCTGATATTTCTCCCTTGACAGTTCCCATTTTTTGTGCAAGTGACCCATATCTGTCATTCATGTGAGCACGCCGGTGTCCTGAAGAACCTGCATGCACACATTTTCCAAGTCAGTAACATCATGTGGATCCAAATGCCTCATAAGTAATTCCAAAAATGTCACATTTGTGAGATGATCATAGCAGTATGAATAAAATGACTGTAATGTTTTCCCCCTTTTTCATACAAATCAGTATATGGAAGTGAAAAACTGTATCGCTGATGCATCCCATGCTCAAATGACGGCGCTTTTCAAGTTGTTTGCTATTTATAACTTGTAGGACTTGTGATTTTGGAGTTTATTTAGTTAGAGGGCGGCACAGCAAGTAGTGAGCCAAACTTCTCTGGGCTGGGTTTCCCAAAATCATTATAGCACAAATATTATTCTTAAATGGTAGAGCGAGCATCACACTGAGCACTCTCTCTACTAGTTAAGATGATCTTAACGCTAAAATGCTTTTGGGAAACTGGGCCCTGTGTAGTATATATTTAGAGCTCTGTAGAATCAAGATATTTATAACATATTAAATATCAAAAATTGAACTCAGTCTTGACCTTGGAGCCAAAAATGGTATCAAACGTATGAAAAAATATGTATTGCTGGGGCTCCGAGTGGTGCAGCTGTCTAAGTGTTGGCCCTGTCATTGTGAGATTGTTCTTTGGTGATGCCACAGTCATCTGTGGCTGGGAGTCTGGGATAGATTCTGTAACACAATTGGCAGTTAGCATTCTCCTCCAATGATGTTGTGTTAAGCCAGGGTTACACTGCCGACTTTTACCCTGATTTTAGCCCCGATTCCCAGTCTGGCTCTAGTCTGCAGGTGTTTGGGTCAGTTGGGGTCGACAGTTGGAGAGAGAATCGAGTCGTGTGTGTCCAGCGCAGACTCAGATTTTTGACATTTCAGGCCAGTCGGAGTTTTAGGTTTGATTTTTTCGACCAGACTCTGAGTGTGATCTAGTGTAAACTGGTTAATAACTCAATTTGAACAGATTCCTGCAACAGCCAATGAAAACTGAGAGCATGAAAGAAGAAAATACAGCAAGTAAACAGAGAAAAATGGTGAAAAGTCTGTCACGTGTGTAGTCGTATAGTGTGAGACACCCAGTCTTTTATAATCTGTTAAGACTTCAAAAGTCGTGTAGTGAACCCGAGGCTTTGGAGCTTCACGTGTCTTGGGAAAAAAGTATGCTAGCTTTCACCCTCCTACCTTGGTATGAAGGGAGACCTTGCCAGTGGGTGGAATCGGCAAAGAGTTAACCGGGGAAAAAAAAACAAAAAAAAAAACAAGTATCATAACACTCCAAATTCACAACATATGACTTCTAACTGAAAGCTCTTATTGTGGTCACCATGTTTCAGATATATATCTGATCTAGGAACACATGTAAAAATCTCAATCTCAATCTAGACTTGTGTTTACAGAGCTCTAAACTTCAGATCTGTGGCACATTTAGGCCAAGAATTCAGATTTTCCTTTAGCCAGAGCCGCCCGCGGGTCAGTCCGTGTGCATCTGTGCTGTGGGCGCTGTGCACGGGTCACATGCTGTGGGTCGTGTTTTTTTTCCAAGCGTTTGCTGTACAGTATTTTGTTTTTCTCCTGCTTTCCTCCTCTCCCTGAATATCTGGGCACGCAGCTCAAACAGATGTTCCAGTGCGACGAGGCTGA